CCTATTCATCACTGCACCAAAATAACCTAAAGCCCAACCAGTCTGACACACAGCCCCTGTCAGGCCTCCAAAACCTCAAAAACGCAAAACTAATCTGTCAAAACAGATGCTCAATTCAACAGCCAGTGCAAGAACTCCTTGGTAACAGAAACCTGACCCAAACGTGAAAATTGTGATCATTTTCTCACCCCAATGCTGTTTCAAAGTTACAACTTTTTATTTCAAATGCAATGAAAGTAAACGGGGACCAGGGACTGTCAAACTCCAAAACATACAAATAAATAAATCACACTGCAGCATATTGCAAGTTTTCTGAATTCAATGAATAGATGAACAGATTTGTGTGATGAATAGCCTGTAATTTAAGTTATTCACTGAAAATCTGATCAACAGCCACGGTCACCATTCAATTTTAATGTATGGAAAAGAGCAGTTTGGAATTAGGTTATAAATCTATTTGTGCTCCACAGAAGAAAAGGTTATACAGTGTTTGAAAGACATTTAATTTCTGGGTGAACTGGGCAAAAATAAGAAGTGACCAATAAACAAAACCGAAATCCAGAGCATTAAAGGGATGGTTCACTCGAAAAATAAATTCTATCATCAATTACCCATCCTCAAGTTGTTACAAGCCTGTATGAGTTTCTTTCTTCTGCTTAACACAAAATAACATATTTAGAAGAATGTGGGTAACCAAACCATTTTGGTCTCCACTGACTTCCATATATATATATATATATATATATATATAAACCCTATGGAAAACAACTGGGACCAGAATTTTCATTTTTGAGTGAACTAACCGTTTAAGTGAAAATTGTAAATGACCATTTTACTAAACGTAATCCAGAATATTAAATGGATAGTTCACCAGAATTTACATTTTTAGGTGAACTGTCCCTTTAAGGTTGCTTATATTAAAAGGAAGCACTGCATTTTTAAACAAACAAAGAACACCACTGTGCACTGTATGCCACTATTTGTCAAAGAAGTTAATAAAGTACTCAGAAATATTTCAGGTGCTCTCCCTGAAATAAACCAGATGCCAGACTACAGGAGGAGACGCTGAAAAAGCGTGCGAGCTGTCACATTAGGTAAGAGCTCTGACGCGTCTTACTAAGTGCTGTACAATGAGAGGAATGAGTGAGGAACGAGTATGTCATAAGGGAATACCTCGTTTCAGGAATGAATGGAATTAAACTACAATGTAACGGTTTGATTCAGCAAGGTCGAGAAACGTGTTTGGAGTGCAGGAGTGTGGAGTGTCAATGACACATGCACCAAACATCCCATTGCTCCCTTAAGTAGTTCTTCACCACAAAGCATTAGAGTAACTGATATTGACATTGCAACCTGATTTGAAATCAGTTAGTTTATTCCTTCTGCAATTAAATAACATTATGTAAGGTTATTTATTTATTGATTACTTATTATTATTTCTTTTCTCCTCTTTTTTATGGTATGTGTTATTGTGCTGTGTATGTTTTTTTTTTTTACCTCTTTATGTGATGTGGTGGTTGTATTTCTGAGCCTAAGACAAATTTCCCTGAGGGACAATAAAGTGTACCTTAACCTTAAAACACAGATACAGTGGGGTCAAAAAGTCTGAGACCACTAGAGAGGAATGCTTATATTCAACACGTTTTAATTCAATAATACAAAAATCTATATAAATCATAATATCTGCATAATAATTTAAGTGAAAAATTTATTTTAGAATTTCTTTACAATCTGGTTCATTGCACTCGAACTGCGTGAAGTATAAAAGCTGTTTTGCATCATCAACTTTAAAGGAACAGTTCACACAAAAATGGAAATTCTGTTGTTCCAAACCTGTATGAGTTTCCTTCTTATGCTGAACACAAAAGAAAATATTTTTAGTCCCCACTGACTGCCATAGTATTTTTTTTCCATATTATGGATGTCAATGGGTACCAGCAGGTATTTGATTACACACAGTTTTCAAAATATCTTCTTTTATGTTCAGCAGAAGAAAGAAACTCCTACAGGTTTGGAAGAACGTGAGGGTCAGTAAATCATGACAAAATGTAAATTTTTGGCTGAACTATCCCTTTAAAAGAATGTATTTGAATTGTTTTTAATTTGCACAGTTCTAAAAACCTTCCTATTTCAAGATTTAAATCAGATTTTGTTTCACACAAAATCACCCGGAAAATCTCTCACAGTCATTACAAACCAGAACTTCCCCATCTCTCACTTCCGCAAGCAAATGACAAAAAAAGAAGTGGGATCCTTACATTAACGTCGCATTGAAACAGAAGACAGATCTTTTCTTCTGCATTGTGACATACATCCAAATGTAACGGATTATCAAAAAGCAGATTAAATGATTTTTTTAAATTAAACATGCACATATTTTCTGTTTGCAATAAGACTTATAACATGCATTTCTAAAATAGATAGTCAATTTTAAAAATGTATCTTCTGAACTATTTCTATACACTGAATGTTCCAGTAAACCCTTGTTTCATCTAACAATGCATACAACAATACACTAACAAGTGAAACCTGACTAATATAAGTGTTACTTGGTGATCTTTCCTCTTATAATAACAAAGCGCCTACCAGCCCACAAAGAGAATGCAAAATGTTAATGGGCGTTTACTTGGCTTAAAGACTTGGCAAGGTGTCATTCATCCCTTCGGTGGAAACTAACAGAACTGTAAAGAGGAAACTTGCAAAACACTTAGCAAGTGAAACAGTCTTTCAACACAGCTGAGATGAAGCTCTTCTCTTAGGTTCGGATAAAACATGATCTGTGACTCGATGGAGAATGCAGCAGCACACAGAGAGTAACACTTCATTCATTAAGCAATTAAACTAGCTTAACTAAATATAATTTGTGTTACAAGGCGTGGCAGCTTTTTTCTGTGTAGTAAACACTTTAGTTTTTACTATAAACAAGTCATTAAACAAGCTTTTATTTTAACATTACCATGAGGGACAGGTCACCCTTTCTTATCTTTGGCCGAGGTCAAACGTTTCTGAAAGGGAGTCCCATTTTGGTGTCTGCATCAAATTAAATTTACAAAAGTCATTTTATATACATAAGTAAAGTGTTTGCTTTAATGTTTCAAATAACTTTTGTGAAAATAAAATGTCAAAATATGGGTGAAATAAGGTTTCAAAATTATTCAGCATAACCGATATAGCCCATTTATGTAAAAATTAAACAACATACAATTTAGTGAAATCACTTTTTCAGAATAAGTATTACATTTTAAATGACTGAAAACTTCTTGCTGGCAAATGGGTAAAACCTAGTGGTCTAAAGGATAGTGGCAAAGACTTTAAATGACAATTATGTCGTTTTTGGGGGCTTCACTGTGATCCGGCTTAAATAGTCTTTTAATGTCATATTGTTCCAAATATGCTTGACAAGATTTTTTTGGTATATAAACTATTGTTACACTGAATACCATTTTAGTGGATGCCTTCTGTAAATCATGGTAAAAATGTATTATAGTCATTATTTTTTTGCTCAGAAAAAAATAAAAAATTAAACAGGACACACTCTAATGAACAAATTTAAAGCTGCAATAAACTTTTATTGTTTTGATGCTTGAAAGCCTGTTTTCGTCTCTGAACCCTGTACAAACTGGTAGTAAACCCAAGTAAACATCTGCCACCTCTTCTTCAGATGCAGAATAAATCATTTATTACAGACAAATGGTGCTTCAAAGGATAGTTCACTCAGAAATTTAAATTCTGCCATCATTTAAGTTTGGAATGACATGAGGCTGAGAAAATGATCCAAGAAGTCTCATTTTTGGGGTAAACTATCCTTTTAAACTATAACTTGTAGTCTAAGCAAGTAACTCTAGCAGAACTGAAAGAAGAGATGAAACCGTGATGTTTTACTAATATTAACTCCATCCCTCTCAAATCAAACATATGTTCTTGTTCCTGCAGCTCTACTTGAAGTGCACGGGTTTAGTACGGGGGTTTGATTCCCACATTACAATGTATACTGTCAATGCACTGTAAGTTGCTTCTGATAAAACACGTGAAAGCATGGTTGCCTATAACTTGCATCCATGCTGTGATCACAGCAAAATCAAGACTGAACTTTGACACAATGCACAAAAAACACTGAAATCTAGGGGAAAATATGATACAGTTAAACTGAAGCACTACGTATTCGATAATGCATGATCAACTTCAAAATTTTCTAGTGTTCATTTCTTATTCTGGTCATTTTCTGATCATGCTTTCCAGCAGGATTTCAGAATGATGCAAGGAGCATCTTGTGCTTCAAAAGAAAGAAAATCTGATGTCACGATGTTGCAGAATTGTGAATATTTCACAGAAAAATCAAGACTACACATTTTTTTGGGGCAGAATGCACTATAAACAGACATCTAGTGAGAAATTTTGAGAAAATATTACGCATTTAATAATGTATGAGTTTGTCTGCCTATATGAAGGAGAGTGGTTTGGGTCTCAACACCACTTTTTCATTACTCTTATTCGTCATCATTTATCTTTCTTTAAATTTCTTCATGATTCATTCAATTTTTAAATGCAATTGTTACTGTCTTAGTGCTCTGCACTGTTACTTCATCGTTTTTTCACTTTATTTTTATTTTACACTTTGCATTTCGTTATTTGTTAATATTAGCTGCACTTCTGGTATTTCACATTGCATAATTTGTCACTGTACGAAGTTATACAGCAAATTTGCCTTGGCAATAGGCTACATGTTTTATAAAACTGAACTACGGAAGAGGTCAAAATCATTTAGGACTCACCTGTAAACGGTTCAAGTGCTATCAGGATATCTTAAAACGCTTCTGGCTCCTTCAGATCTGGACTTCTTACTACACACCTGAACAAAAGACAAGAAACAACGCGATCATGAGCCGAGATTAAACCAATCACAGCATTTGAGAGGCGGAGTAAATAGAAGTTGCTGTACTTATCCAAAATGTCACTTTTCTGCGTAAAACCACGTGTGGACTGAAAAGTCGTTCTTTAAAGCTGTCGCGGAAATTAAAAGTCATCACACGACGGCTGCATTGTTTATCTAACCCGGCACCACAACAAAAGCACGGTAATTTTCTAAACTCTCCACAAATATTACCTTCCTTTACTATGCTCTTCTCTCGGGACCAACCAACCTGTGAAATGAAGAAGCAGAGCTCGTCTCATATACAGAGCTCTTGACGGGGGAATGATGGTTCACTCGTCCTGCCCTGCTTCCGAAAACCAACTGTACTCTCGCGTTTCCCCTCAGGTGTTTTGTAGTCTCAACCCAGCCCTCTGAGAGAGAGAGCGAGAGAGCGCGCGCTTCTCGCTGTGTCTCCAAACTTACTTACATGCCTACCTAGACTGCATTTCTGGGCATCGTCCACGCGGCGTCAGTGGCGCTCTTTCTAAGTATGCAGCATAGGCTTTGACACAGCCATATAGCGACGAGTCAGCCAGGTAAACCACTTGTATACTTCATTTTTTGATATATTTATGTATACATCATCTATCTATCTGCTTGCCTATTTGTCTATGTATCTGTCTGTTCTATCTATCTGTTCTGTCCATCTACAGAATTCATTCCTTGAGGCAGTGAGGCACATTCTGGAGAATTTTTGTTCTTAATGAGTGCTGTATGCCAATGTCTGCAGCTGATATGAAAATGAAAATGAAAAAAAAAAAGACATTACACATTCCCATATTTCAGTCTCTGTTTTCCTATGTATTCCCTTGATTAAATCTAAGGTAGTACACCACAAAGTACATTTTCTTCCAAACTGGTGTTTAAAATGACATATTATTGTCATATTCATGTTACATAAGTGGCATACACCTCATGTTCGTGTTACTTCCAGAATGACATACACCTAAGTAAAGGGAAATTGCTACATGACAAGTAAGATGACCAGCACAGATAAGACAAGCTTGTAATGGTGACAGGGCAATAGTTGAAATAGTTGCTCAGGATGACACACTTCAGTAAACAGACATCAGTCAGTAGCTCTTTAAAAGGAACTCTCCAATTCCTTTTTTTCTCCCCGCATTTACCAAAAAAAATAAATAAATAAGTAAAGTGTTGTACTTGTTAATTGCAAAACAAGCCCCACAAGTCATGAGACATACTGCATAATTTGTAAATTTTAAAAACACACAAAATAACCTATATAGGCTCTGTAAGAATGTGAGCTTAAGGTCAGGTATTAGTGACAGAGATGCCCTCAGCGACCAAAGCCCAGCTAAAAGATTTTTGAAACATCGGTTTGAAACATCTGGTTTCAGTTGATAAATCATCCAACTATGTCACAGCCGGTTTAGGATGCCTTGCATTATAACAAAAAACTTTCAACCTGTGTGGCAAACATTAAAAAAAAAAAAAAACTAACAGAAATCTATAGTTTTTGATCTGTAACATTATGATTATATAGAAAATACACCCACAGTTGAAGAAATTCAGAACATTCTAGAAATATAATTTGTATAATGTCCTGACTGATGATGGATTTCATTTCTGTGCCTCAGTAGTACTCAGTACACACAAACCATTTTTATGAACATTTCTATTAACCACATCCCATCAAGCATATTCTGAAAAGAACAACTCAGAAATTGCTAGTAAATTTCACAAACAGTTACAAAGAAATGGCAAGTAACACATTGAATTAGAAAAACTTAAAGTTATTTTTTTCTTGTAAAATGTATAATCTTTGTTTTATTTATTTTTTACATTTATGTATTTGTTTTTAACTTCAGTGCAATATCTTCATTTCTCAAGAGATAAAGGTATTCCAGTGGTCTTAAAGGGGTCATATGATGCGATTTCAAGTTTTCCTTTCTCTTTGGAGTGTTACGAGCCAACAATAGTCCAAATATAACTACTTATTATAAGTGTACCGTAGTGATTCGGAATAAGACAAAAACGCGGTTTGGAAGATGAATTCATGATGTACTCGCTCATTATATACATTTTGCAAATTTTGAACACAGAAAAAGTTACATAGTGCTGCTTTAGAAGCCTTTATAAAATATGCTACTGTTTTTAACTTTATAAAAGATTTGCTTTAAAAAGTGTGCCACTATCAGTATTTAGGAAACTAAATATTTTATTTTATTTTTATTCATCCGTTATTTAACCAGGAAATAAAACTCTTTTACAGCACACACAGTTAAACATAAAAACATTATTTTCATCTAGTGGTTACTAGTAGTAATTACATTTCTTCACAATTGTGCTCAGAGTATTAAAGGGGTCATATGATGCGATTTCAAGTTTTCCTTTCTCTTTGGAGTGTTACAAGCTGTTTGTGAATAGATAAGATCCCTAAAGTTGCAAAGACTAAAGTCTCAAACCCAAAGAGATATTCTTTATAAAAGTTAAGACTCGTCCACGCCCCCCTAAAATGCCTCGTTTAAACACGCCCCCACATGTCTACATCACTGTGTGGGAAGATTTGCATAACACCGCCCAAATGTTCACGCAAAGAAAGAAGGCGTAACTTTGATTCTCGCTGTAGTATTGTTGCCGCCGCCGCCATGTCGTGGAGACGCTGTGTGTTTCGTTGTGAAAGCGAAACTACTTTGTTTGGTCTTCCAAAAGAGGACACAACTAGAAATCAGTGGTTAAGTTGTATTTACAACAAGGGTTCCAGAACAGTTCAACCCAAATATTCGTGTGTGTGTGTGCATGGTAAGGGGCGTAACATTTCCGTCACACGCATGAGGTATTCGGCCAATCACAACGCACTGGATAGCTGACCAATCAGAGCACACCTCGCTTTTCAGACCGATGAGCTTTGTAAAAATTTACGCGTTTCAGAAAGGCGGGGCATAGAGAAGAAACAATAATGTACAGTATGTGGAAAATAATGTGTTTTTTTAACCTTAAACCGCATAAACACATTTCATTACACCAAATAAATAAAATATAAACGTCATATGACCCCTTTAATAGTGTTCAGATTTTGTTTCTTTATCAGTTTTAAGTTAAAACAATTCTATGTACAATTTATTAACAAAATAGTTTATAATCACCCATCAAATTTTCATAATAATCTAATTTGAATGTTGAAATATTTTTTTTAATCATCATGAATAAATGTAATATATCCATAATATATTTTAAATAATAAACGTAAATAGATTTTTAAAATGATTTTATTGAATAAATTTTACATATATTTAAGAATACATTACATATTATGTTTGCCATTTAATAATAAACAAATTTATTATACATTTTAAAAGTTAGTAAAAAAAAAAAATGCTCGATTTAGACGGTCTGAGAAAGAGGACAGTGTGAAGTTTATAGTAATAGACAGACTGGGATACAGTCCTCTAAAGTTTCCATTCATACTAAAGGCCAAACACAATGGAGTTTGGGGAGGGGGTGTGGTGCTGGGCTTCACAGACTCACTGCTGCTCCTCCCACCACCAACGAAATCCTTCCTTTTAACTTCACACTGCCCCTGAGCGCACATGACACGCACACACAGACACACAAAAACAGACAAGATCAGGATATGACATCATACACAGGAAGGGAAGCCAAGTAACTTGCTTTTTCGCTCTAAACCCTATTCCTAAGTGAGTTTTGGAGGGTAAAGACCGGCTGATGAGTGCGAGAAAGGATCCTCACGGGACTCTTTGGATTCGCTCTGCTCCCTCTTGGAGAGAACAGGAGAGCGAGGAAATCTTTTCAGGTTTCCCACAACATTCCAAGTGTCTACGGCAGGACTAAAGCCAGGTCTACATTTTTACTTTTCTTTCGTCTGTTTTCATTGATGAGATGCAACTTTTGTTTTCATGCTCTGAGTTAATGTCAGAGCTTGTGTGAAAAAGCCTGAGCAGACACGTCAGTGTTTGTTGTGGACAAATAACTCCTCTGTTCTTTGCTTCCACATGTTGAATGAATTGAGTTAAGGCTAACATCTAAAATGAGACTTTCTGTTTGTGTAAAGTCTAGCTAAAAGAGTGGCTGGATATTTACCAGTTTGATTAGAAACAGTGCTTTTGTAGAATTGAAAAATATATAAAAGATTTGAAATCTTCTCGTTTGCATATAAAAAAAAACAATTATGGAAATGCAGGCATGAATAATGGCGTGAAATACTATCCATTATCAGTTACAGCAACAAGTGTCAGAAACAGAGCTTCTGCAAAATATGTCAACATGAGCTATGAGGTGAGAGAAATTCATGGTTTGATAGTAGCCAGGGTTTTTTGTGAATACATTTGTGGGAGGGGAGAGAAACAGAGAGGGAGAGAAAAACAAGACTTATCAAAGAGACAAAGAAAGGATGGACTCAAACACAGATACACTGCTAGAACGTTAAAGTCAGGGTTTGAGTGTAGGGCTGAATAGCTCTGAAATCCACAGAAGAATGGATCTCATTTCAGCCACTTCGAACAAACATGGGAAGTTATGAAAATGGTGATGTAGATAAAACAACACAAAGGGAAACTGAATGCATAGAGAGGAAGAAATGTTTGTTTGTGGTGGTCTGTTAATGGAGTTTACTTGCACTATACCATTCAAAATTTTGGGGTCAGTATTTTATTTTTTTTATTCAGTAAGGATGCATTCAGCTGATCAAAAGTGACAGTAAAAAAAGTAAAAACTTTCATAATGTTATAAGATCTCTAGTTCAAGTAAATGCTGTTCTATTTATTAAAGAATCCTTAAAAAATAGTTCTACTTTAAAAACATTACTCCTTAAAACTGTTTTCATCACTGATAATAATTAGAAATGTTTCTTGAAAAATCTTACTTGAAAGCTGAAATTTCAGCTTTGCATCACATGAATAAATGACATTTGAAAATATATGAAAACAGAAACCAGTTCTTTTAACTAGTAATAATATTTCACAATATTACCATTCATATATATGACCAGGATTTCAGCTATTAATCCCATATTAAATTTGAAAATTCAGCTTTCCGTCACAGGAAGAAATGGCATTTTAAAATATATGAAAACAGAAACCAGTTCTTTTAACTATAATATTTCACAATGTTACCATTCATATATATGACCAGGATTTCAGCTATTAATCCCATATTAAATTTGAAAATTCAGCTTTCCGTCACAGGAAGAAATGGCATTTTAAAATATATGAAAACAGAAACCAGTTCTTTTAACTATAATATTTCACAATGTTACCATTCATATATATGACCAGGATTTCAGCTATTAATCCCATATTAAATTTGAAAATTCAGCTTTCCGTCACAAGAATAAATGACATTTGAAAATATATGAAAACAGAAACCAGTTCTTTTAAATAATAATATAATATTTCACAATTTTACTGTTTATATAAACTGTCAGAATCTCAGCACAGCTATTAATCCTACACTGTAAAATCCAATAGTTTACCTTACTTAGATTTAGTTAGTTATCTTTACTTAGTTGTTATACTTACTAGGTTTTATTAAGTTACAGCTACTTTCAAGGCAAATAAAACAATTTACTTACTGTTTTGAGAGACACTTACTTAAAATATTCAAGTAGCCACAAAGGAAGCAATGATATTAATAAAGCAGTGAGAGGCAGCCGTGCACTAATATGTTGCTAATGTGCGACATAACAACAGAAGAAGAAGAAAAATTTATGTTATTATAATTTTCTTCCTGTTAATGCAGCAATGCATCATGAAGTCAGAGTTATTTGATTTAAAGGAAAAAAAAAAAAAATAGATAGGTTGCATTTTGAAGATGACTTATCTTCTAATCAGAGCATTAGTAAATTTTTTGTGTGTTTATTAGTGAACTTGTTCAAATATCACTCTTCATAAATATCTTGAGATGATTTTAATTGGGTTTATATAATCCTTCAATAGTGTGTGGTAATATGCTGGAGTCACACACAGACTTAAACATTCAGCACGTGAACCACAACAATGGTAACAATTCAATTTCATTTATTTTCATTACTTGTAAC